CCAAAGAGGCCTCAATTTTGTATATGTTAATTTTTAAAATTGTATTAAAAATATGAATTTTCTTGGCAAAAGTGAATGGTACCCAATTTTATTATTCTGTTCTCGCATTGCTATAAAGAAATACCTGAGACTGGGTAATTTATAAAGAAGAGAGATTTAATTGGCTTGTGACTCTGCAGGCTGTAGAGGAAGCACGGCAGGATCTGGTTCTGGTGAGGCCTCAGGGAACTTACAGTCATGGCAGAAGGCGAAGGGGGAGCCAGCATGTCGCCGTGTCTCCATGGCCAGAGCAGGAGAAACAAAAAGGTTGGGGGTGCAGGGGGTAGGTGCTACACACTGTTAAACAACCAGATCTCACAATAACTCACTCACACACTATCACAAGAACAGTACCGAGGAGATGGTGTTAACTCATTCATGAGAACTCCGCGCCTATGCTCCAGTCACCTCCCACCAGGCCCCACCTCCAACATTGGGAATTAATTACAATTTGACATGAGATTTGTGCAGGGACACCGATCCAAACCATATCACCGATATTCTTCTGATTGCCTATTGATTAACCAGATCAGTACTGTCCAGTATAACTTTCTGAGATGATGAAAATGTTGTCTATCTGCTCCGTCCAGCATCGTAAATACTAGTTACATGTAGCTATTGAGCACTTGTAATAATATTTTATTATTATTTTAAATATTATTAGGAGCTAACAATATTAGTTCCTAATTTTCGGTTAATTTAAATAAAATTAAATATGAGTTCCTCAGAAAGTTCGATACCACACTGTGGCATAAACTTTTTCTGCCCTAAGTTCTTATAATCAATGTTCTAAGAAGACAAGGAAGGAAAAGATGAAAGTAATAGGAGAAAAACTGAGAGCTTATGATTTTTTAGTTAAAAATCCAGATTCTAAATGTATTGTTAGGTCTTATATTTCAGGTCTTATGTTAGTTCCTCGGGAACTAATATTTTAGACCTGGTCATGCCGAGTTCACCTTTGTGATGAGAATGTTTGGCCAGTGTTATTCCTGAGGAACTAATATTTTAATTTTATTTAATTTAAGTTAACTTATAATTAAAGAGCCACACACACCTAGTAGCTACTCGATTTGACAGCACAAATATTGATGACTGTATAATCACTGTGATCTTAGAAAACAAATTATGTTATTTTTATTCATTCAGAGAGATAAATTATGACGAGTTTTTACTTTTTGACATCAGGATTTTATGACATTTTCTAGCTTTATAAACAAAAATGCATGATCCAACTTCCATGAGGTGATATAGGGAGGTGATACTGAGGATGAGGCTAATGTACATTAAAGATGTTAGTGGGAGTGTAGAAGTTTGTGACTGTGATACGAAAGGTATAGGGGAGACCAAAGCCCAAATAACGTTTATTTTTAAGCCAGCGAATATTGGGTTGTTTTTGGGTGCTGAAAGTAACTATACTTTCACCAGGTGGACACAACAGTCCGGATCCTGTTGTCATCCTTGTCAGTAGGGACAGAGGTGGACATTAGGAGCCTGTCCCAGGATGCGGAGGTGTCAGGAAAGCAGCCCTGGGAAGGCCCCTGCAAACCCCGCTGAACTGGTGTTCCATTGTGGCTTGCCCCTTCCAGCTGGTTCCATTGGGGACTGTGAGAAGTACAAATTCAGCCTGGTCGTGCCAAGTTCAGCTTTGTGATGAGAATGTTTGGTCGGTATTTCTTTACTTTACACTCCGTCTGGACTTAGTTTGCAGTGATTTTTTTCCCCTCTTATTCATAGTTTTTTTTTTAGAAGTATTGTGATACTTTCTTTTCATGTATGTTTACTTTTCATTCCTCACTTAATTGGAAGCACCTTGAGGTTAGAGGTTGATTCTGTTGCTATGTCTGCTTTGCAAAAATATGGCAGTCTTTGCAACCTTCATATTTCTTTCCTGATTCCATCTTGCAGAGAAGGAATGCAACCCACAGAGAGGATAACTTAGTTCTAATTAAATAACCCAGTGACAAAGTAACTCAGTTTCTCAGCTCTTTGACCTTCTAACTAATTCCAGCTAAAAGAGCTCTAGGACTCATTGGTGGTGTATGTTTAAAGCAACAGAAATACTGATGATAGTTTTGAAAACTAATTGGAAAATGCCATTTTTAAGGTGTATTTTTAGATGTAGTTGTTGTTTCTCAAATTGGGGGCATATTTGTCCCAAGGGATTGGGGCCATACTCTGGCAGGTTTATACAACCTCCAGATAAATGTGGATGGTCTCCCTAAGGGGTCAGTTCACTTGTACATTTTGGAAAGTAATATTGAATGGTGTTCATTGTAAACAAAGTTTTAAACTTTTGTTATTAGGACAATCAGGGGTCTATCAGAGTAGAATGCACGTACTGTGTGAATTTCAGGGCGTCTTCACAGTAGAGTCTAACTGTTCTTCCTCTGCATATTGGGGGCTTCTGTGGGCCTCCACCATTATCCTCTGCAGTGTAAATACAGATACTAGATAGAAATGTCTGAGATATACTCAGGCGTGTTTTAACCCAGTAGGTTGGAAAGAAATAGACCATAAATCCAAGTGCTATGTAATCAAATTGTAATGGAGAAGGGCAACATTTCATTTTTCTGTGCTGTCTCATCGTTTTCTTATTGTTTAATGTTAAAACAGCAATTTAGAGTCTGGCTTTTTAACTGAAAAATCATAAGCTCCTCAGTTTTCCCTCATTTTACTTTCATCTTTTCCTTACGTGTCTTCTCTGGATATTGATTAGACAAATTTAGGGCAGAAAAATAGTTTATACCATAATGTGGTATGGAAAACATTGGATATCTGCACACTTAATGTATAATTTTTTATCCAAAGTGCACCTGGGGCCGGGCGCAGTGGCTCACGTCTGTAATCCCAGCACTTTGGGAGGCTGAGGCAGGAGAATCACTTGAACCCAGGAGGTAGAGAGGTTGCAGTGAGCTAAGATTGCGCCACTGCACCCCAGCCTGGGCAACAGAGCGAGACTCCGTCTCAAACAAAACACAACACAACACAAAGTGCATCTGGAAAAGCCTTAGAGTTGACTTTTCTTTTACTATATTTTACAAGGAGGTGTTGTGGAGTAACGGAGGGACACCAGCACTGAGAATCAGGGGACCTCAGTGCTAGTTCTGGTTTTGCCAGTAAATCTTTGCAACCTGGGCAAGTCATCTTCCCACTTTGGGCTCTAGGATTATATTCGATCAAGTGATGATGTACTAGATGTCTTTCCGTGTCTCCTCCAGCTCTCACCTGCCCTCATTCAGTGTTCCCAATCCTATGAGAACTGACTGATCCAAAGACTTTTGAGAATTTAAGTAACAGAATAGCAATGTTCTTCACTTCATGTTCATAGTGATGCTCCCTAATACTTGTTAAGAACACCAAGTGTATTTTTTTAAATATTTAGTTTTCTTGCATATATAGTGCAAGGAAATCTTACCCAATTTAATTGAAATGGTTTCTTCCACCATTACAAATATGCACTTAAATGTAGTCAATCCTGGGCTATAACGGCCCTGAAAATGTAGGAACTTTCTGTTTTCCAAACTGCTTTTGTTGAGTTTTTAATTTGTGTCTTTTTTTTTAAATCAATTTTATGTAACTAAGAAAGTCTAATCTGTTATTGGTGCCCAGGGGTTTTTGTTTAGAGAATTTCTCCTCTTCCCTTTATTTCTCAGTTTGCGCTAATATTCTACCCTGGGCACTATTCCAAATGTCAGGCTACTGCTAGAGCACAGATAGTCTTTTCGATAGATGCTGAGGAGGTAGTGTTAGGTGCGTTGTAAAACTCCTAGAAATGCATTTCTGATAGAATTCCAGGATTTCATGTTGGAAATGTCGGATAGTACTTTTGTGAAACAGGGAAGTTATGTATAATTTTTATAAGCACCTCTCTCTGCTTCTCTCCGTTCCCTGGTTGAGCACGCTCCATCTTGTCCACTCTCTCACAGTAGGCTTTTACCTTGCCTCAGTAATTATCTTTTCCTTTGCATGAATCCTATACCCTGTTGCCTGCATAACCTAAACATTCAGCATGAGGAACATCTCCCTTGTAGAAACCTTTAATGCCATTCTCCATGTATTTAATGTTATCTTTATCCCTGCCTGACTGACTCTTTGGCCTCGTTGCTACCAATCTCCTTCATAGAATCCCTTCAACCCAGCCATGCTGAATCTACCACCAGCCACTCTCCAAAACATCTTAGACTGTCTAACCACATCATCTCTGTTCATACTGCCTTGCTGCCTGGAAAGCCACTCTCATCTTTCCTCTTCTCACCCCTTTCCTCACCCATCCTGCGGGGCCGCCTCAGTGCCTCTTCCTTCCTGAAGCACCTCTCAGTTCCCTCCATGCTTCCTTGATGGTGCTTTTCTCATATCAGAAATAACCATCTTTCTTTATTCTCCTGGTCCTCTTTCCCTCTTTGCCTTGAATGACACAGATGCTGATGTTGAACAATGAATATAGGAGTGGTACCCATTCATCGTTACTCTGACCTCAGCCATACGCTAGGATCTCACGTGCTGTATTTTATAAGTGTGTTTTGACTCAAAAGGAGGTTTAGTGGAATATTGTCACAGACTAGGATTGTTTTCTCCCTGATTGGTGCAGTCTTGAAAAGGGGAGAGAATCTTGACACCACAGACTTCTGAGTTGTGATAGGAGGCCGAGAAGTCCCTGGGGGAAGCCGCGTCTGACCATATTGTCAGCATCGCTTCCCTCCTGGGAGCCGCCATGAACTTATAAATGTTTTTGGAGAATGGAGGTGTCATGCTTCTTTGGGAGGAGACTTACTAAGGGCCATCTAGCAAATGCCAAGTGAAATTCATTGCAAATATAAAATGGGCCATTTTCCTATCCATTAAAGACTGTTCTTTAAATTTTTTTTTGATTAATTAATTTTTAGAGACAGGATCTTGCTGTCTTTCCCAGGCCTGAAGTGCAGTGGTGCAATCATAGCTCACTGCAGCCTTGAACTCCTGCCCTCAAGTGATCTTCCTGCCTCCCAAAGTGCTGGGATTACAGGCAGGAGCCACCGTGTGCCACATTCTGAATCTGACCTTGGACCACCTCTCTTACCTCCTCTTCCTCTGCTTCCCAGTAATGAACCCTCAGCCCCAGGCAGGCCCGCCTGCCTTATGAACCCCACCTCCCCTGCATCCACACCTCCACATCTTGTCCATGCTTCCTGTCTGCAGGTCAGTCCTCTCCTTCCTTCAGCATAGATTTAGGGTCTGCTGTTGGCTAAGCACTTTCAGGGATATATCTGCAAACGCAAAACATGCAAAAAACATCCCTGCTCACGGAGCTTATGTTATGACATATGGGCTGCGCTTTCTCTTTGCTTTCACCTGTCCAGATTCTAGAACAAGTTTGCCTTTCTCTGGAAGCCATTGCTGACTGTTTTGACCCCGGTTCTTTTCTTCAGAATTCTTGGGGGCACTGGTTACTTGTTCCTCCCCTTTGAAATACACTGCCTTGTATTTTTGCAGTTTTTATATGTGAGTATCTTACCTCCTCAAGTATATCTTAAGCTTCTTGAGGGCAGACACCATGTCATTTGTCCATGAGAGAGTGTGCACCAAGGTTCCTATACTGCATATGTACAAGACCTTAAAGATTTAAATTCCCAAACTGACCGTAGGACTTCGCAATTAGTCACCTGATAAATATTTTTAATTGATTTAATGATATTTATTGCTCTCTGCTTTTTCAAGTGGAGCAGCTCTAAGAGCATGTGAGACCATTAGTCATCAAGCATTTATTAAGATCCTCCGTGTGTCACTATGTGGCGCTACTATTTAATCTACTGCCAAGGATGCAGGCAAGTGCCAAGCACAACCTCTGCCCACACCTCATCAACTGAGCAAATCACCTCTGCGGTCCTCTGTGTGATGTTTGTAAATCTTTACTGTAACACCGAAGCTGTTACTCAAAGATGCAAGAGGCACGGGGCAAGGAGGAGGACTGCTAATGATGGCTGCGTGTGATTCTTGAGCTCATCTTGCCATCAGACACCAAGATCTAAAGCATCAGCAGACCTTTCTTGTCTTTCTTTCTTGGTGGAGGCCAATGGTGCCCATTATGAAACCCATCGTACTCTCCGTAGGGCAGCAAGATGAGCTTGTGGTGGTTTTGCCTGACCATGTATACTTTTTCCCATGGTCCTTCAATAAAAGTCTGCTGGGGGGCAGTCGTCAGGGGTCATAGATCCCAGCAGAGGCAATTCCTACGGGAGACCCCACCTGTGAACTTACCTCATTGGTCCATGTGCCAAGTAAGCAGATTGGCTTCAGTTTAAATTTAAAAATTGCGATATAGGTTTTAACATTTTTTGTTTACAGTGGCTTTTTTATTCTAATAATCAAGAGGTAGCATGTGTTGTTGAAAGAACAGACTTTCAACAGCAATGGTTGTTGAAGATGATGTAGAAAGTCTGTAGAACAGCATACATAAAAGGGTAGAAGGTAAAGTTGACTTTCAGTGGCTGAAAGAACAGACTCGAGAGCCAGCTGCCTTGGGTTCAAATCCTGTCTCTGCCGTTTACCAGCTCTACGAGCTTCAGGAAGACAGTGCCCCTCTTTAGGTGGGGATCACCCCAGTACTTAACTTCCAGAGTCCTTCTGAAGATTATGTGAGTTTCTAAATACAGACATACTAGGCCCATATATAGATGAAAACATGCATGCTTGGATATTAGAAATTATGACTACATTTTTATTTGTACATTCTCATCCCTTTTCTTCGAGTATTTGGATTTTTTTTCTTTCTCCACATATTTAACCTTTCGTAGATTATAGAAGAAACTTGTGTCTTTAACTGTCAGGAAGTGGTGCAGTGACCCAGGGCTTCCCAGGAGGCTCTTACATTGCTAGGACTACAGATATGTCTATTTAGATCTGAATTTTGTAATACATTTGTTCTGTGCGTCCATCATCGCATTCTTAAAGTGTGTGTGTGCTTATTAGGCACGCTGTCTGACCTCACAGTGATCAGACCAAGCCCCACAGGAGTAGGCTGGATTGCGTGACTTTGGGTGGATTTATAAACAACAACACAGCCACACTTAAAGAAGTTTGACAAAAGGTGAGTGACTTTGGTTGGAGGCCCTGGTGCTGGGCCCTAGGCTCCGTCTGTGGCATGGATGAGAAGCTCCTGGCTTATCAAAGAGGAGAGAAAATCATACACTAGAAAGGAAAATCAAGACCGTATTTGGTTAAATAAGTGGAGAAAGAAAAAAAAAAACAAAGACTTGAAGAAAAGGGATGAGAATATGTAATAAAAATGTAGTCATAATTTCTAATATCTAAACATGTATGTTTTCATCTATATATGGCCTATTATGTCCTTATATGCTTCTGATCAAGCATACAAGGTAAAATTGATGAGGCTGTTAAAGAGTGCAGCAGTAGCAGTTGGTGTGGAACACGTTCTCAAGGGGGTCACAGGGTGACAGATAGTCCAGGACAGGGAGGACATAGTGCCACAGGGAGAACTCAGCAGGAGGATGCCACATCATCGGAGGGAAATGGATACGCCAGACCAGAGCAAAGGGGGGACCCCAGGAGGGCAGAGGATGTGAAAAGCGTCAGGCGGTTGAGGGCATGGAAGACGTTTTATTTAGTAACATTCAAAGCAAGCATCTCAGTGGATCAGTAGATGAATATGTAGTCTGCGTGCCTGCCAAGTGTCCCAGACTCTAGGAAACTAGAGAAGAGCTGATCTGGGCACGGGGACCCGGTTAGTGTTTGTAGCTGTCAGATGGGTGATGGCGCACAAGAGGGTTACACATTTTGTAGCCTCCCAAGGACAGAATGGGTGTCACTGTGCAGGGGTGAGAAGAGACGCTGATTTGGACTCAACTCGCAGCGGGGCCTTTGCCAGAGCCTGAGCTCTGTGGGTGTAGGTTTTGGAGGACAGGCTGAATCACCGGAGTCAGGAGAGAATAGGATGCTTCCAGGATTTTAGCCTGGAGACCCACATGGGGACCCCTGTAACTCTGAGTTTCAGGGTGCCTCACCAAGAGCTTCAGTGCATTTCCCATCTTTGCTGGCACCCTACATTTTGTGCCCCTGGTAGCTGACCTGCTGGATTCATGAGGATGTGGGAGAATTTGCTGCACAGTCATCTGCCACGCACCTCTATGGGCTTCTGAGAATGGGATAATTTTTTGGTTACCTGGATCCTGAGTGGAGGCAGCAAGATGTGCCTGTTTTGATGTTACTGCGATTGGGAGAGTTTGGCAGTAGCACTTCCACTGCCGTGGGATTCGTTTCCTTAGCCTCTCTGACTCCATTTTTCTCTGGCTTTTATGTGGCTGCTCTACTCCTTCCATTCTGTCCTCTCTCTCAAGTGCCGCCCCCGTTTTCCTCCTGAGATGTTTACGTGTTGCTTCTTGCACTCTAAATAAAGACTAAATGTTTTCTCTGCTGGCATAAGTTCCCCTGTGTGTGTGTGTCGGTGTGTAAATGCATGTCCACAGGTGAGCGTGGCACCCATAGTGCAATGAAAACGACATTTTTATGCAGATACATGGTTCATTTTCACCTTGCTGATCTTAGCGGTAGGCATTTTTAAGAAAAGACGGAGGACACAGCCACCCCCCAAATCCCATGAATCCTACTTCTCGGTGCGATTGGAGTTGTGTTGTAAGCGCAGGAGAGGCTCCTGCTGAGAGCGAGTTCCTGACATAGTGACCTCATTCCCAACGCCGCCCTCCTCGCAGCGGCAGAAGCCGCGCTGGCTGGTGCTGGGCGAGCTCCGCCGCTGCCCGGACCGCGAGCCTGACGGCTGTGTGTCGAGAATAAAGAGACCCAGGCTTGCAAAGACTTGCACGGCAACTGGAATTTATGACAAATAGCTCACTGCAGCTAAACTTTGATACAGTGTGCAGTAGAACCGCCTGTTACACACAGAAGGGAGATGCGTCCTTCGTCACAATGCAAAGCCAGCCTTAACACAAAAATAGGAAAATGTGGCAGGTCTCTGATTACGGACTGGTGAGTATATGACGCCAGATCAATTTTAATGTGTGTGTTCTCTCTTCAAGCATCTGGAGGTATGTGCCCTTTTTACCTTTTTCATGATTAAAAAATATGAGTTGGTGCTAATGCATGGGAGGGGACCTGGGCCCCTAGAGAGGAGAATGTGCCCCTCGCCACCCCTCGCCTGGGGTACATTCCGACCTCGCGTCTCCGCACCGCACAGACAAAGGAGCCTGCACAGACAAACAGAGGCTGTAGCTTTTCTTGGAGCGATGACTCATTTCAGTTCACAAAGGATTCTGGGCAGGGCAGTGAGAAGTCAGGTTGGCTGATCCATCCCTGTGACTTCACTTTGCAGAGAACAAGCGGAAGAGGAGTGACACTGCAGATTCCGAGGCATTGCAGTGGGATGTTGGCTCAGCAAGTGGCTGTGATGTATGGGATAGGCATGGAACAGGATTCCAGCTGTTCCGTGCAAATAAGATAAAAGAATGGTAAAGAGGATTCCTTTTTTTTTCCCCTCCTCAAAACGTTACCAGCAAAGTACATTCACAAAGCCTTTTTAAGGTGCCTTTTGCCAGCTTTTGAACTGAACTTGTACCAGTACCTCAAGCCCTGAATTGTAAGAAGAGCTGAGAGTTCTGGAACTCGTTTTCAAAAAGTAGATCTACGAAGGTAAAGTACCAGATTCCTGTCGTGTTCCACAGGCCCTCAGTAGCCAATCTGAAATGCTCATTTAGGATACTATGACTTGAAAGTTTACTCTTTCTTCTTATTCCAGATTCTAGGACGTCCATTTCTGTTACTGGCTCCTTCTTGTGCTTGGATGCAACCCCCTAGCATGCACCAGGCTTTAGCGTCAACGCTACCTGGGGGATGGAGCCAGTCCAGAAAGGGTCAGGTAGGTTTACCCTGCTTTTATTTCAAGAGTTGTTGTGTGCAAAGGAATATGGTGAAATGTCGGCACCACCTGTGAAGAGGGTGCACGGTCCTCTGAAAAGTCTTGCTGTTGCACTCTTCCCCCAGCCTCAATCTTAGGCCGTCCAGGTCCTCCCACTGTGGGCTGCTCACCACACATGACCTCACCAGCACGGGTCATCCCAGAGCTGCTCACGGGGACGAGAAGTCCACAGCAGCAGGATTTGCCAATAGGAAATAATCAGACTGCCCCAGATTTCCCTCAGCTATATATCTGTCTCGCTCGCTGCTCTGAGGGAGACATTCAGTAAATAGTATTTGACATTTTTTCTGGGGATTTTTTTTTTTTTTTTGGTTTGGTTTGGTTTTATTTTTTGAGACAGAGTTTTGCTCTTGTTGGCCAGGCTGGAGTGCAATGGTGCAATCTCGGCTCACTGCAACCTCTGCTTCCCGGGTTCAAGCGATTCTCCTGCCTCAGCCTCCTGAGTAGCTGGGATTACAGGCATGCACCACCACGCCCGGCTAATTTTGTGTTTTTAGTAGGGATGGGTTTTCTCCATGTTGGTCAGGCTGGTCTCGAACTCCCGACCTCTGTTGATCTGCCTGCCTTGGCCTCCCAAAGTACTGGGATTATAGGCGTGAGCCACTGTGCCCGGCCTTGAGACATTTTTTCTTACCAATTAATATACAGTGCCTGAAATTTTGTGTACTGTTTGGCCTGTTAACCTACATACAATGCACTAAAATCCAAGAAAGCCTGATTTATGTACCCAGGGACTGTTTCCAAGACTCACATCATATTGAAGCTGCTATTAACTACTAAGGAAGTAAGCATATTTCATCATAGTCTGCTTCAGGATTCAGATTATGACAGAGCTGTTTTCTTACAACATCCATGGGCTTTTCACACAAAAGCTTTTTAAAAAAACATGACAACAAAATGGTAAATTTTGGTCCTCAAAGGTACATTACATGCTTCATTTCCAAAGTGAGACTTGGCACATCTGAAAGCATGGCTTTACCACCTCATCACATGGATGGTTTCAGTACTGTTAAAGATATTTCTGAGAGTGGTGAATCCTGTATGTAATTGGTAAGAATTTTTAGAACATTTTTAAAGGCAGATGTTCAAGACCCCTCGAACATCTTTCTCTTCGCAATCACATCCATCCCATAGCTCACCCTCTCACAGAAGAAAAGAAAGCATCTTTCCTTTCTTCATTGTCAGAGGTCTCTTCTTTCTGCATAGCAGTTTATATCTTCAGAGCAACGTCGAGGATGCTGAGTCAGCTTTAAAGGATGTTTGGTCAGAAAAAACACAAGTGCGGTATGTTGCAAATATAGTTCCATCATGTCCTCACACCCATCAATTCTACCCATCCTCAAAGACCTGTTCGAAATCTCTCTCCCCTGGAAAGTTCTCCCTAATCATCCCAACAAGAGGTCATTTCTAAATCCTCGAAACTCCCGTTATAAAGTTAATTTTCTAGTCATTCATGTGTTTTCTTGCTATAGCTCTTCTAAGGGTTTTGAACAGCAGTGTATATATTTCATGATTGTTTATAGATTTCACATTGTATATCTTGTATTCCCACCTAAATTGTAATCTCACTGAAGGCAGAGATCAAGATTTATGCTTTTTTCTGCTCTCTACATCTCCTAGCAGTTCCCTACACATGGAAACCTTTCAAAAAATAGTTGAATAGGAAGAGGGAAAGTTTAAAAAGCAGGAATTTTTTTTTTTTTTTTTAAGTCATAGAGGGTTAGAATGATCTGGTTTTGCTAATTTTAAGAATCTTCGTCTTCACAGGGTATATTCAGGCTAAGGCGGACCTCAGGAGTCATGCATACCACTCTAGAAGTTGTGATGGTTCTTACCTTGAGGCAGTGTCACAGCCGGGAAAGCTGCCTTACTCTGCTTGTAAAGGACTGTTACCGTTAAGGACAAGTGAGCATGTGAGGCCCTTAAATATGGACACTGATCATGGTTTACTTGAATTGTATTGGACAAGCCATCCTTAAGTTACAAGGAGTATGCGAAATTCGGGAAGTTCATGTGAAAGTCACTTTTTTGACTCCTACAGGACATTTTCCTTAGAAGAGAGCCAGAATGGTTACTAATAATTCAAGTCATATCAGAAATTATTTAACTTCTAGTGTCACTGATTTTTAGTACTAACACTACTTATTTAAGTGCTGAGTTTCCTCTCCCTTTCTTAGGTAATGGATTGGCCCAACCTAAGTTTTGAAATAGGTCAACATCCTTTGATATCCTTGTAACTCTCTATCCACACTCTTTCCCATCTCCTAGTGCCTTTTCCTCTCCAAAGTCCCTAGTGTGATGCATGTTTGCACTCTCAGCCTGGAGATGCATCCCAAATGCTATGTATTCTACATATCTGATTAAAGTGATCTGATTAAACTACTTCATACTAGTGTAAGAAAGAACTCTGCACTCTTAACCTTCCCGAAGACATTTTAGTGTTTTTAAAAAGGCTATTTTTAGGACCAAACAAATTTTCCCTTGGTAGAAAATCAAACACGGTAAATGAGTAAACTGGATAAATCTAGATGGGCTTGGGGAAGATTTTTTTTTTTTTTTTTTGATGGAGTCTTTCCTTGTCGCCCAGGCTGGAGTACAGTGGCACGATCTTGGCTCACTGCAACCTCCGCCTCCCGGGTTCAAGTGATTCTCCTGCCTCAGCCTCCCGAGTAGCTGGGATTACAGGCATCTGCCACCACGCCTGGCTAATTTTTGTATTTTTAATAGAGATGGGGTTTCTCCATGTTGGCCAGGCTGGTCTTGAACTCCTGACCTGAGATGATCCACCCACCTCGGCCCCCCAAAGTGCTGGGATTACAAGCGTGAGCCACCGTGCCCAACCAGGGAAGGTATATTTAATACTAGTTACTATTTATTAAATATGTATTAGGTCTCGGGGACAGGGTAAGCACTCAACATCCATTATCTCATTTAATCCTCTCAGTGAGTCTACGAGGTAAACATCAGTATGTATACTTTACAAAAGAAGAAATTGAAACTCAAAAAATTAAATAATTTGCCCCAAATCACACAACCAATGAGGAGCAGAACTGGGCTCTGAACCTAGACTTTTGACTACAAAGCTCATGGCCTTTACCACCATCTTGTAATGCTGAACTGAAGAGAGAAAAGTTACTTAATTGTACATGGACTTGGAAGTTTCCTCTGTGTATCTGATCTGATCCTCCATCCTTTCTTTCATGCCTCTGAATTCTTACATAGGCCTTTCATAATGACCTCCATCGCAGTTGGAAGGGGTAGGAGGGTGTTCAGTTTTAGGGGGGTTGGTAGCAGTCAATCAGTATAATTTTGTTGTAATTTGGGAACTGTCAACCTGTCCATATTTGTAGTTTATTTAATTAGGCCTTCCTGTCCTATTACAATTATATTTTACAGAAATCAGTCCCATTGCTGTTGTCATCCCTAAACTGATGAAGCAGAGAATACAAAGACTGAGAAACAGCTCTGGTGATTCTCACTTAAAAGGAGGGAAAGTGAATGTGTGACCTAGAGTTGTTTGACTGATTTATAAGCTGAAGCTGGGAAATATCATCAGTGGAAATTGGAGCATCTAATGTCTAGTGTTAGGCCAGGTTATGCTGCAGAATGAACATGGAAGAGAAGTACAGGGTGGCTTAAAATAGGAATTTATGTTCTGTCCTATGTGATGCACTTAAGGAAAAGGAAGACATCATATTACTCAGGTGCTCTTGTTGGTCAGGTGCTTTACAGAATTTCAGGACATCTGGGAGATCTTGCTAATTGTTGTCATCTAGGACTGGTACTTCATCATCATTTTATCCCTGTTGCTGAATGGCTTTAACTTCATTCTGGTTGAAGGACTGGAGCACAAGTGGCAGCTGGTGTTGGAAAACATCTCGTAAGGTGGCAGGGCCTTGCCTCTTCTTGTCTATGTATGTAGGACCTTTTGATTCTACATGCGTTTGAGGACCTGCCATGTAAAAGCATTCGGCTAGATTTATTCCATGTGCCTAACATATACCACCCTGGACGCAGTTGATGGGTTATAGCGGGGAGCCTTAGCAAAGGCATTAATTACGGTAGCCTCTGATTGGTCCCAGGGCTCATATTTCTATCCTACCTTTTCTGCTACGCATCTCTTGCAAATAGCTAAATGGTCCAATAAAAGTTTTAGTTGTTCCTATCAGAGATGTCAGGAATCACCTCTGGCGATGGGGAAGGTGGCTCTTGGCCAGGGCGCTCTCACCCACCCCTCCCCATGGATGGCCCCTTTCTGCCTGACTCTCTACCCTTTCTGCCTTGTCTGTCTCTGCTTATTCTGTGATAACCTTTTCACCTCTAGTCAAATCTGAGTAACAAGAGCAATAGCTAATATGACTCACAAAAGGTTGCGGACTGGGAAGATCATGAGTTTCTTCTGTAGACCAATGAGCCAATTAATTCGTCACTTCACCTAGTGGCATTAGACAGACTGATCAGCACAAAGGCTTGGGTGATATGGGGGACATTAACTCATTCTTTTTGGTGCCCTTAGCCACCATGGTTACTGTTGTTTAACTCTACTCCCATTAGAAGTTTCTTAGTAAGTAATAGCTAATGGACACCTGTATTTCAGTATGATTGATGGATGTCTTCTGTTTATGCTGTCTTTTGATTAAAATGATTTACTCAAATAATAGCTTAGGAATTGGACCTGCTTTAAGATACCCATTAGGTGTTGAAGTAAAGCATTAGGAAACATTTAAAAAGTTGTTATAGAATCTCTAAATATTCTAAAATTCCTTTTCTATGCTGTTTCCTTCGTTGACTATTGCCAACAGGCTCAGCCTTCAACTTTTGAAATCAGTGGCATTTGAAACAAACCTACAGTAAACTAGTAAAAGTGCCTTTTCATTGCCAGTTTTCTTCTGAATGTCAAATACAAACATTGGAAAGTCAAGAATAGTAATCTGGTTTCA